CCCCCAACCAAAGGATTCTTGTTCTCCACTCGAACGTGACGTGGTCCTTTTTTCCATAAGCCGCTGATTGTATGACATCTGTCCTCTTTGTGAATCGATTGTACGTGACCTGTCTTGAGAACGTGAGGCCGTCGTGACCTTGCGAGTTCCCACCCTGCCTTTTCTCGCAGTATGCCTGACGCACAGGTGATATACAGTTGAGGGCAAAATTATTAGCCCCCCCTATGAAAATCTCATTGTTTTAAAAATATTTCCCAAGTGCTGTTAAATAGAGCAAATAATATTTAAGATGGCTTTTTTTAGACATCTCAGTTTTATTTTGCATGCTTACATTATTTTACTTTTCGCACAGAAATGAAAATATGCCACAGAAACCAAAAACTACCATGGTCAAAATTATTAGCCCTCCGGATATTAATAGTCAATTGTGTATCCTTTTTGTTGGATAACAGCCTGCAGTCATAGTTTCCAACTCTGTCTGTCAACTTAATTGTTAAGTTAAATCACCTGTGAAGTTAAAGCACATCGTTATACATAAGTGGCTTGTAATGTCAATAAATTGTCATTTCTTAAAGGGGGCTAATAATATTGTCCCTGGTCATTTTTGTTTTTTCTGAAATAATTCTGCTACTGTGTGCAAATATAAATAATTTATTCCTTCTAAAAAAAACTAATATGTTCAGAAATGCTACGTTGAAAATTCCTTGCTGTGTTAAAAATGCACTTTGGAAAATCTTGAAGAAACTTCAAATTTCATAGGGGGGCTAATAATTTTGTCCTCAACTGCATATTAGGACGTCAGTGTTTCCCGTGCCGCTAACCACTCGACACTGAAACCCCCACCTTGGCGATCGCTGCTCTGAGTCTGCTGTCGTTCTACCCCAGGGGACATTACTGAGGGAGGGTTAGGACCTCCACTCCAGCTTCGAATGTAGAAAAGTGGTGTTTCCATTTTCACCTTGACTTCAAGCTCTGCAACTTCCCCTCAGACTAATCCTGCCTCTGGCACCAGTGGCAGTAAATGTGGCCTTCATCCCCATCAGATCTAAGATGCTTATCGAAATCGGATACGAGGAAACGGTTTGGAGTGGTTCTAGAAACGTCAGCCCTGATGGGCCAGGTGAGCCTCCATCTGTACGTTTCGTCTGATAAGCAGTTTGTGATGTGGGAAGACCAGTCTTAACCCTGGATCACACCAAGCCGTCACTGCAGTCGGGCTATCAGTGACTGGTCAGTCCCCGTCGGCGCTCTTTTGGCTGATTGAGCATGCTTGAATGGGCGTCAGAGCTAGTTTGGTGGACTGTAGCTCTCTGAATGGGCTGTACGGCATCCGTCACCTCTATGTTGAAACCCATGTTCATAATCGATGGGAGCCGATCATCCGTCGGTCATGGTCGGTGCTTGGGGACGGGGACTGACTTGGTGTGTGGCTGGTCTTCCCCAGTGTTTGTCCAGTCTGCCTTTGACCCCCGATACCCCTCCGCCTGTATTCGGTGACCCTTTCTCTGTCTCTCTCTCTCTCTTTCCCTACTTCTCCCTCATTCACCCCACCCACAGCTCTGTTATAGCTGTTTACCCCTTTTCCTGCTGTATATTCAGTGTATTTCAAGACATTTTATAATAAATAATATTAAAATGTCACGATGCTTCTGAAGTGATTGCTCCTTGGTAAAACAATTGAACTGCAGTGTTTGCATTTCCTAATACTCTTGTTATTTGGAGACCTGTCATTTAGTTATGTCACTCCATACCATCCTACCCCATGTCCCAGTATTGTTACCTGTTAAGATCCCAGTAAGGCAGTGTCTTCTAACTTGTATGAATGTTGTGGAAAGGTAGGGCTGAGGGTGTTTTAAAATGTTAGGTTTTTTTTTGTTTTTTTTTTACTTAAAAATGTCAACTACACTTTGCCTAGCCTGAAGACATGCTGTGGTCTTTAACAAAACTGCATAGTTAAGTTGTATTTCGTACCTTCTCAGAATGTCTAAAAATTGGTGTAAACAGGTTTGGTTTGTTGTTGATTAGACAGGGATCCAATAAAAAATGAGTTTGTCACCTTTTGTTTTTGAAAAAGTATCATTTATTGTAATAGACCAACTGAGTTTGCTGAGAAATCCACTACTGACCACTGGCAGGAATAACTCAGTAATTCAACCCATAGTTTTCAGTTATGCTTATCTGCAGCTAAACTTATTTACATTAATGCAAACAGCATATAACCTAATTACAAAAAGACTCTCCCAGAACAGCGTCTGAAGCTGTCCGCTTGTGCATTTTTTTAAATGAGTGTCTGGTTAACAAGGAGCAGTACAGTACAGCATCTGCCTGCGATGGGCCCGTTTTCTGCAGGACCCTCCCTCCCCCATCCCCCCCCCCCCTGCTGAATTTTGTGTGGCTGCATCCTCGAGGGGCGGGAGCCTCTTCAACTGCTCGTCCCCTCCAGGGGGGACAGGAAGGGGGCCAAAGTGCTTTGTGGTGCCCAGGCATCCGCGCCGCTCACACTGAACAAGCTGCCACATACTTCCCTGCAGAGAGACACACACAGGCATCTGTAAGCAGCTGGTGGCCTGTGCCTTATCCTGGATGGTCAGGTGGGCCTCTATAGGCTATATGCACCCTAAATCTAAACAGATGTTTCTACATTTCACTGTCTCAGCCATCCAGTGCCAACTGAAGCACTGGCGGCCACTGCTGGATCTAATGAAACACTGGTGGATGTCCCATTCTCCATAAAAAGAATGCTGTGTACATTTGCATCAGGAGCAGACTGGTAGGCAAGGTAGCCGTGGCCCCCCAGCGATGTCGAGGGCCCCCCAGCGATGTCGAGGGCCCCACTGCGATGTCGAGGGCCCCACTGCGATGTCGAGGGCCCCACTGCGATGTCGAGGGCCCCACTGCGATGTCGAGGGCCCCACTGCGATTGCGAATCTTACATATATGCTAAATATTTGTGAGGGTTAAGGCAACCAATGACACCATGACATGCTACTTTTATATCTCTCATTTTTATGTACAAAATCTCATTATGGTGGGAGTCATAACCCAAAAAATATTTGGCATGATATTTAAAAATTCAAATGTAGTAGTTTGTAATGTTTCGTAGTCAAACTATGTTGTTGAGGCTTGTATTTAATGAAAAAAAAGCATGATTGTGGAATTTGCTAACTGCTGCAGTGCGTGATGGGTACATGTTGGGGGCATGGTCCATTTTTGCCCCAGGGCCTAGTGTACAGTTGTGCTGCCACTGATTTGCATTGCCTTCCTTATTAAAGTTATGCTATCAGCCAACCTGATAAAGTCGGTATAACTCTGAAGATCAGGAAAACATTACCATGCCAGCAGCCATAGCACCTGCAGTTCAGACTGGATAATCCACCTGAGGCTAAGCAGGTTTGGGCCTGGCCAGTACATGGATGGGAGACCAGCTATGAAAGCTGGGTTGCTGCCGGAAGAGGTGTCGGTGTGGCCAACAGGGGGCGCACATCCTGGATGGAAGACCAGCTAGGAAAGATGGGTTGCTGCCGGAAGAGGTGTCGGTGTGGCCAGAAGGGGGCGCACATCCTGTGGTCTGTGTGGATCTCAGTGCAGATCTGGGCACCCAGTGGCTAAACTGCCCACTGTGGCCCTATCAGTGAATGTCACATTTATATCAAACTTTTCAGGCTCTATAGGTCACTGTGTAGCCCCCCCACATAGATGATGTGACAGCAGTCATTCTACACCAGTGCGCTCACCACACATGGCTGAGGTAAAGGGGCAGATTCTAATGGGTGAATTCTTTCCTGCCCCCTTTACCTCAGCCATGTGTGGTGAGCGCACTGGTGTAGAATGACTGCTGTCACATCATCTAGATGGGGGGGGGGGCAGCTACACAGTGAGCTATAGAGCACTTTGGGTGTCCTGAAAAGTTTGATATAAATGTGACATTCATTCATTAATTAGAATCAGTCTGCTAACAGGTTTGCGTCGTAAATAAATGCAACATCTTGATGGTTTACTATTTTATCTGAAGAGCTGCACATTCTTACGGTTGATAGTGTGAATGTCACAGTTATATCAAACTTTTCAGGACACCCAAAGTGCTCTATAGCTCAGTGTGCAGCCCGGGCTCTGTCAGCCTTGCCCTCGTTACCTGTCGCGAACCTCTTCTTCACCAGGGACAGCCGGTATTTGCTCCCCACCAGCTCCACGTCCAGGCCGGACAGGGAGGCTCCGGAACCCAGGAACTGCACCCCGAGGCTGGGAGGCGGTCCCCGTGGGGGGTCGGAGCACTGCCAACTGGCACACAGCCGGCCTGGGCCTGCGGGGGTGGGAAGACTGAGTGACATTCATTACGTTTACAAGCTTTACTGCTGGCCGATCATTGATGACCAAACACTAAAAGGCGAAAATCCAGCAGCAACATCCTAGATGCCCTCACAGTGGATAAGTATTCATACGTTTTGTTTTTTTTTTCCCCCCGTCATGGACAATCTGAAACACCCAGAGGTCTTATTCGGTACACTGAACGGTGCCGTCTTCCTTTGCGTGACCTAGATACGTCAGGTTTGTTTATCCCAGTCCATCAATACACCCCCCCCCTGCACGCGAACTCATCCACACCACACAACAGACAGCTCTGCTACGCCAAAACGCTGACTGAGGTGGCGTCTCTCGGAAAGCACGCGTTAGGGAGGGGAAACATCATCCTGCACATCAAACGGAGGCAGGAGAGAGGCAGCCTCTGAAGAGACAGATGGGGAAGGAAACACCACATGGGGCGGTACCTTGACTGTGATTGGCGGAGGAGAAGCTGGGCAGTTTCCACAGAAGCCATCCTTCTTCAGCGTTCCTGTAGGAGAACCAGCCATACCCTCCATCATTCCTTATGTTTTTCTTCACATTTTTGTCTGTACACCCTCACCCTACCCCTCCCCACGCTCACGTGCCCGCTGTCTCACCAGGATGCGGGTGGTTGGCACTGCACGTCGCTGGCTGTGGCCTGCAGAGGCAGCAGCACCTGGATGCCAGTCAGCTGGGCAGACGGCGCCACGCCAGGCCCCGGGCTGCGGTAATCCAGGGAGACGCGGGTGACGGTGCCCCCTCGCTGGCACTCCGCGGACAGCAGGAGTGGGGCACGACAGGGGTCCTGGGACGACACCTGGGGAGAGGGAAGAAAAAAAAATACACGCCGCGGCTGTTTCTCGACACCAAGAACACAAAGATCGTACCCGTGGTCTTGGAAAGACCGATCTTGCCAACTTGCCTCCCAAGAACGAACTTAGGCTGCAATGAATTGTGGGATTGGTCTCATTTGGCAAGGATGCTACCAATGTATCCTTGATATTTGGGGCGGGTCAAGACCAACATCTGGTCAGTACTTCTGTTCTTAGTATTGGAACAGGTCTTGGGTAATGGAAGAACATAAGTACAGTGCAGTACGCTTACTGAGATACACCTCCGGACATTAACAGTGATATGATTTATAGACAATGCAAGGCGTTCCCTCTCTCACCTGATACTTCACCAGGCCTACGTTGTGGTACAAGGCCTGGGGATTGAGTTCAGCCTCTCTCTGGAGGTGATTGCTGAGAGCCTGCATGTTGAACCAGAAGTCCCTGGTGTGTTGCTCACTTTGGGACTGTTCACTGAGGAAAACAGCACACCAGTCAAAAATTTGTAAAGCACTGAAAATCATTTGTTTTTCAATACGATAATGACCGTAAGCACACATCGAGGTTATGTATTATCTTGTGACTAAGGAAAGAGATGGAGTGCTGTGACAGATGACCTGGCCCCCACAATCCCCCTCCCTCCCCCCAGCCTAAACCCTACGGAGCTAGTTTGGGATGAGCTGGATAGAAAAGGAAGAGCAAGGTAGCAACTTGTGCCCCGAACTTGTTGAAAGCTCCTTCAGGACCATTGGATAAGTGTTCCAGACGGCTACATCTGGATGCTGGTTGAAAGTACCACAAGTCTGCAGGGCCGTCATCTAACAAAAGGGGGCTATTTTTTAGTCAAAAAATCGGAGAAAATTCCGAGATGTTCAACACTTCTCCTTCCAATATTTGATATGTATTACGTTATTGCCTTTTTCTAGAAGGTGAATAAAATAACATAAACAGAGACAAATGTTGCTAATGCTTTTCATCCACACAGTGTACATCACCATGATAGTGATATGCTAAGTGTTAGCGCAGGCTCACCTGTAGAGCAGCTTCTGATTGGGTACGAGTTGGTCTATTTGTGCAAGGTTGACTAATCGAAAGCTGAGGACGGGGATGTTGGGGTTAGCAGCAAAGACGCGAATGATTCCAGCAGGGAAGGACATGGTGAAGTCGCCCGTGATCTTCACCAGACAGCTAGGTGGAGATAGGAGCCAAAAGATCTCGCCGTCAAAGTCATACCCCCCACCTGTAACTCACATTTCCAGAAATGAGTCCCCGTTAACAACGAGCAGTGAGTACTGACCGGCTGTGCTCTCCCCCGCTGAAGTAAGCGCTGATGTACTCTGTGATGGCAGCAGCCACAGGCAATGCATCCTGGGTCGTGAAGGAGACGGGGCTGGGGCCTCGCGACAAACCGGCCGAGGGCATCGGCAGTGTGGCTGGACGCAAGAACAAGGCTGCTTATAATGGGGGCCAGAAATGTATATGCAATGCATTTTGGGAAGGCTGAAGAACTACCCACCACGGCTAGGATTACAGGCCCTGGGATTTGGGTTATTGTTAAAGAAAGAATTACCCACCCTGAAATTTAGATTAGGATTAAGAATAATGAAATACCCACCCTGGGTGGGACTGCGGACCCGGTGATTAGGCTCTTGACATCCCCATTCACTGGGGCTGGAGGAAGAGGATGATGAGGTGTGGATGGGGTTTGGGTCAGCAAGCGGAGAGGAGCACACAGACCTGGACTGGAAAAGCAGCGACGCCATTACAAACAGTTTATACTGTGTCATTAATCACTTTCAAAGTTAAAGGGGAATCAATGTGACATTTCACAAATTTTTAATTCTGAGTCAGAGTTTAGGAGTGTAAGTATTTAGCAGAGACAGTATAAGAATAGCATACTTATATAAGAATAGCAAATCTGTTTCATCCCATAGATATTTTCTTAGTGATGTTACAGACTGTTTTGTGTATCAGACTGTTTAAAAAGTGAAAGATAAGAACGGTTGATGGACATTGATTTCAGGTGTCGGATGTTAGCTAGTACAGGAGTGAAGAAGGAAAAAAAAAAGTGATGTACCATGTGACAACCACTCAGCAGGCCATTGGCCCTCTGCATTCTGGCTGGCTGCGGTGGTGCAGCCAATAGGAGCTCAGCATTTTCCCGCTGTGGATGAGGGGGCGTGTCTAAAAGAAATGGCGAGAAACAGATTAATGGTCTAAAAACAAGATGCTTCAGCAATAATAATTGCAAACTTTACTATTCTGGAAGTGTAGAAATTATCAGTCTTTATATTTTGTGTTTCCCCTTAGATTTCAGCATATCTGCTTTCCAACAAGCAAAACTTGCCATTACATTTTTTTTTTTAAATTAGGAAGTTCGTGCCTAAGAGGGGGGACAAAATCATCGCGGGGTCAACGGTACTGTTAGCCAATGATGGGCTTCGAATCGCTGAATGGCGGGTCCAATAACCTATCGATTGGGGCCCTGTGGTCCCGCCTCTGTTGCTTAACATGAAGCCTATGAGTAAAGCTGCCCACAAAAGCATCTCCGCAGCTTTGTAAGGCATTTTAATCAGAATGTCACAGAATTACTGTACTTCACTTTATATAAAATAGACAAAGTATCCATCCTTTGAAGCACAAATTGACATTTGAAAATCAAACTCTGGCTGCAGGTACAGTGACAAAAGGTGACAGTGACACTCCGTTCACAAAGCTGTAAATTCACCATCACCAGCAAGCAGATAATGAACCCCCTCCCCTACCGGTGCTGTGGCCAGAAGCAGGGTGACACTCAGCCCGCCTGCCCAGTTGGAAGCCACTCTGCTCCTTGTCCGCAGGGACACGCGGGTCCTCCTGGGGCCCAGAATTCCTTGCGAAAGACGTTGCGTTCCTGCGTGGCCCCCTGTCCGAGGCCCGGTACCTCCGGTCCCTGTCCCGCAGCCCCCCCGGTACCCCGACAGAGGCTCCCTCACTGAAGGGATTGTGCACAGAGCCCCAGCGCATCATATCTTTTCTGGGCCGGGACCCCGAGCCGGAGGTGGAGGTGGAGGTGGAGGTTAGCCTGCTGCTACCGCTGCTGCTGCTGCTGCCGCTGTTCCAGGCAGTCGCAGCGGCCAAAGCCGATTGGTGCGTAGGGCTGCCAATCATGGTGATGGAGAAGGGGTCCTCGGGGGAATCCAGAATGGGGAACTCCTTTGTCGTCTCCTTGTCCTGTTCTCTCTGGGAGGCGGAGGCGTTCGGGAACGCTCTCGTGTCCTTCTGGGGGACAGAGGTAGAGTCCTGGCGTGCCTGCCCCCCCCTGGCATCTCGAGGCAGGGAGGGTGGGGGTGGGGCGGGGGATGCACTCCTTTTATGTGTGCGGAGGAAGGAGTCCAGCAAGAGAGTCTGTTTACAGTTCCATTGCTGGGGATCCGTCTTTGGGACACAGGGAGGGTGAGCGGGGGGGCGCTGTGGAGACCGGCGTCCCTGAGTCCGGTCACCCACCGGCTCATCCCGCTCCGGGTGGGTCTGTCGGGATGACGGGTTGCCAAACGTGGTCAGGACGGTGTCCGGCGCTCTGACAGGCCCAGGCTGAACCGCGCTCTGCAGGGTGATGGGCCACGACGCCCACGTGTTTGGGTCTGGGGACAGCCCCAGGGGCTGATGGGAAGGAGAGTCCAGCCCCGAGTCCTCCACGTTGTCTGGGGACGAGGAGTCAGAAGAGAAGGCCGGATCTGGAATGCAGGGCATAGAGTCAAAGCGCAGGGCATAGAGTCAAAGCGTGAGTCACAGGCCGTGTTACATGCTGCTGAAGGGATCGACCAGACAAAGCACGCGGGAATGACCCTGAGGGCCCGAGCTGCGTACCAGCAAACGCGGACTCCAGCGGCGGTCCGAATAGAGTCTCTGAACAGGAACCTGCTGTCAATCTGCAGCAAAACAACAAGGGAAAGCTTACAGTTACCGCCATATTGCAATTGTCATTATTATCAACAAATAGTTCATCTTACAGGACGCCACTCCAAATGACACCAATGAAAGCAGAAGAAAAACTTTTCTCCCTTAAAACTCCGCCAAGGGCGGGTGCCGGTTACCTGCCGGGGTCCGGACTGGAAGCCGACCTCCGCAATCCATCCTGTCCGAGCTCTAAGGCAGAAAAACCATCATACTCAAGCACCACCAATCAGGACACACTACACGGCGTTTGCGGACACCCCGCCCTAACACGGGAAACGGGCCCGTAGACGGAAAACCAGCGGCATGATGCTCTGTCATGGTGTTACACTGCAGATCTGGTGATGTTTCCACAAAGCGGTTTCCATCCTGCTCTCCATGACACACATGTAGGTGAGCAGCACCCATGGAGCTGGGGGTTAAGGCCCCACAGACGTGGCTGGGACTCGAACCGGCGACCTTCCGATCACTGGCACAGAGATTATGCCTAATGAGTCACAAGCTGACCAGATCCTCTTGATCAGAGCCTAAATCATGAAGTGCTGGACTGGAGAGCAAATTGTTACGATGCAGCAGCTCTGATGAGCCATAATCTGTGGTCCTAGATGTCTGCGCAAAGAGGAGCGAGGGGGCCATCTCACCTCCGTGGGGGGCACCCTCTTTCACTCCTTTCTTGTCTGCTGTGCAGCTGGTGGCCCCTGCAACACAGGTACAAGAAATAAGGATGCCGCAGTATTGGACGGATCTCACTGGGCGCTCCTGACGGGAACAATATGGGGACGAGTCACTGAGGTCAATGAGACCTTCCGGAAGATTCTGGAAGGAGAGATTATGAAAAAGGCAGACTTACGGACGAGGTGTCTCCTCACTGACATCTGAAAATTGAGTGAGAAGAGACAGTCAGTCACACATGTCCAATAGACCCACCGACGGCCCGGTGTCCCAAACCCCGAATCCCCAGCAGGCTGCGTACCCCTCTGTTGGGGGGCAGCATCAGCGCTCCCACCGTGGCCCTCAGCTCCAGCTCGTGGGCCGCCGAGCTACCCCGACTGCCGCTGCTCGCCGGCCGGATCCGAATGTGGAACTTCTTCGGCTCGTCATCGTCGAAGTCTGAGTCACTAGAGTAGAAGTTGGCCTCCCTGTCCTGGGGGCAGCGTACGCCTTCAGTCAAGGGTCAGAACAGGACTGGGGGCGACGGCATTCTGAAACAAGCTTGAAAGGAGCCTCGCAAAGGATGCTCAGCCTTAGACCTTCTGGAGCCTCAGGCATCCATAAAATTAATCTCCCAGCATCACACCTACCGAACAAAGGGCGTTTCTCAAAACCAAGTACGCAAAGATGGCTGCACATTTTATCAGAACTGACCGACATTAAGTCTCTCCGGCTCTGTGACAAACTATCTTAGACCAGCTGTGTTTGGTTCTGAATAAGTACACAGTCGACGACGGACCTCCTGCACATACGGGCCAATTATATACAGTATTTAATACCTTCCCTTAAATCAGAGAGACTGCAGGGTATTCAGATAAATACATTTTCAGGACAGTTTATAATATTCCCCATAATCCTTTTAAAAGTATTTTTTTTAATCCTTGGAATGCAGTATGGACGATGTTTATGGAAAACCGGCCGTTTCGATGATAACCGAAGGCCCTGACATCCACCAGCCGCGAGGTAACAGGACAGGAAGGATCTCTGATTCCACCCCCCCGAATCTTATCGCCCTCGTCTTCCTGTTATTTAACTCCACTCGCACAGCGTCATGTGCTCCGGCTGCAGAATGGGGGGGCACGGCGGCAGGGAGGTGGCTGCTATCTCCTGCTGGTGCCCTCTCTGCCTCGCTGGGGCAGCAGCCAACACCAGAGTCAGAATAATGCGGGGGGGGGGGGCGGCATGTGCACGGCTCCTTCCTCGCGGTGAAGGATATCACCTTGACCGTCGGTCCGAATCACGAAGCCCTCCTCGTCCACCTCCTGGGAATGCTGTGGGCAGACAAGATGGTGGTCAGCGGCGTTTGCCCCCAACGCGGCCGCGAGCGTCAGCGGCCACAGATCAGCCTTCCAGGCCGGTAGCAGTGTACGCATTAAATAGGCCTGATGACAGATAGACCAGCACCTATGACCCAACGGGTGACCCCCCCTACACACACGGCCTGTGTATATCAGCTGGTCGGCAAATACAGACCCATACAGCCAACCACTCAACACCCAAAGTCCAACTGCTAAACAAACCGGGTTCAGGGCCATGGGCTACATTACATACCCGGTTCGGGGCCATGGGCTACATTACATACCCGGTTCAGGACCATGGGCTACATTACATACCCGGTTCGGGGCCATGGGCTACATT